TAAAGCTTTAGTGTATTCTGATAGTGATTTTTATCAGTAAAAGACTGAGTAAATGATGACTGCACCTGACTTCATAAAGTAACAATCTCATAACTGTTACTCTGCAAAAGTGATTAAATATACAGATCAGTATTTCTCTCTGATATATTTTTCTCTGATTATAAATTGTGCCTCTTACTGAGGCTGGTAGAAGCTGCAGAGGATGAATTGTATTTGCTGTCTGGCTAGATCCTGGCAGACCTTTACCTGCACTGTTCTCATCTAGGGAATCAGTTTCCACATACACTGTTTCGGCTGTCTTCAAGCTTCAAACACAGAACTGTTCTCAAAAGTGAATTTGATAAATCAAGTTGTCAAATGTATTACAATGCAAGTAATGTGACTGTTGAACAGCTTTCATGTGCTGTTTCTTGGAAGTGGCTGCTTACAATTGAATAACCGTGTTTCTTGGTGCTAGTTTGGATTCTGTTGTATCTCATGTGAAACCAGTTTGGGACTGTTGGGTTTTTAATGGTGTTAGAGCTATGTGTAAGCCATGTGTTTTCTTGTGTACTCATAAAGGGGAATGTAGTAATGTTTCTGATCAGTCTGGCAGCAAGAGTTTCCTAAGGATTACTGAAGAAATGAATTCTCAGCTGAAGTTTCACAAGGTCACTTATCTTATTTCTGTATTTAACTACTTGTGTACTGATCTCTCTGGTCAGATTCTGTTGATTCTCATAGCAAACTTAGTCTTCTGGTTTAAGCCCTTCCCATCTTGTGATAAAATAATTCACCAGTATTTTTGTCTAGCTCTGAAACAGTCTCTGACAGTTATGCCAGTGAGCATAGAAGTGCTCATCTTAACTAGTCTCAGGCAATTGATTTTGCTGGTGTAAGACAGCACAGTGACACCAAAAACTATGCTTAACACTAGCACCACTGGTGTGCAAGTCAGGTGCAAATGGCAGGATGAAATCTCCAGAAGAAACCAGGTAGCCCCTTTATACGAAGGAAACAATGTAGTCTCTGTAGAGGAATTATAATTTCCAGAATGTTGAACCTAAGGTAAGGGAGGAACCAGTCACAGAAGATACTAGTTGTAGTGTCCTTATCTGATGATCAAGAACGATAACTTGTTTTGCTACTGTGAATAAATTGTGCTAAAGACAATATGGAAAAATCACAGCTTTGTTGTGCTGGTTTTGGCTGGGATAGAGTTCACTTTCTTTGTAGTAGCTAGTATGGGGCCATGTTTTGGATTTGGGCTGAAAACAGTGTTGGTAACGCAGGGGTATTGCAGTCACTGCTGAGCAGTGCTCGCACAGAGTCAAGGCCTTTCCTGCCTCTCACCCTGCCCCAGCAGGGACCAGGCTGGGGGGCACAAGAAGCTGGGAGGGGACACAGCCGGGACAGCTGACCCCAGCTGACCCAAGGGATATCCCACACCATATGGCCTCATAGTCCGTGGGAAGGACCCACACTGGAGAAGCTCATGGAGGACTGTCTCCCACGGGAGGGACCCCACACTGGAGGAGAGGAAGAGTGTGAGGAGTCCTCCCCTGAGGAGGAAGGAGCAGCAGAGACAATGTGTGATGAACTCACCGCAAGCCCCATTCCCTGTCCCTCTGCGCGCTTTGGGGGAGGAGGTGGGGAAATTGGGAGTGAAATTGAGCCTGGGAAGAAGGGAGGGGTGGGGGGAAGGTGTTTTGAGATTTGGGTTGTATTTCTCATTACCCTACTCTGATTTGATTGGCAATAAACCGATTTCCCCAAGTCAAGGCTGGTTTGCCCATGATGGTAATTGGTGAGCGGTCTCTCCCTGTCCTTATCTTGACAACGAGCCTTTTGTTATATTTTTCTCTCCCCTGTCTTGCCAAGGAAGGGAGTGATAGAGCAGCTTTGGTGGGCACCTGGTATCATGAAACCCAGACATTGATTACATTAGAGAAATCGTAAAGATTGTTTTATATCCTGTCAATGTGTGATCTCATTAGGATGACTTGATAACTTTGGGTGGAGGTCATGCCATCTGGATTGGCAAGCTGTGTGTGGCAAACCACCAAGTTCTACATACTGTGGTTAGGTCTCTCCAGCTGACTTGGACCTGGCTGCCTCATTCTCTTACGATTTTTGAGATCACCATTCTGAATTTTGTTATCAGTATTCCTTCTTGAAATCCAAGCTACAAACATGACACCATAGTTCAATGTTAACTTTAAATTTACCATAATTCTATAGTTTCTTTGGTTCCTATCTTCACTTTAGTAATTCTGTGTAAAATTTCTAGGTCCTGCTGCCTTGTTTACTACTTCAGACTTTTCTCCCTGCCTTTCAAACAGGAAGCCATTTCATTTTCTGTGCCTCCATCTGGCATAGAGATTTATTCTGAAGGAGCTTTCTGATCCTTTATCACCTGTAATGCATCTTTGCTCCCTTTCAGTTTCATTAAGCTGCTGCTTTTAGAATGTACTGTTATATTAGGAGCAAGCAATTTTCAAACAAATCCATCCGGTCTCTCATTTCTTCACTTAATAGGAAGGATAGAGTAGTGCAGATGGCAGTGATCATTAGGCTTCCTAAAAGACTGGTATAGGTATAATTTCAATTGGGAAAGAAGGTAAGGTAGAGGGTGAACCACAAGGGAATATAAATAAATACTGTGCTTGAGTAGTGGTAGGGTTTCTTCTCCAAGATCCTGTTCTCTAGAGCAAGAATGTAACCGTTATTCATGTCTGTTCTCAAATGGTGCTAAGTTGGTGCTTGCTGTCATTTGACAGGTTTGTACTTTCATTAAGTTTCATGCTAGATTTATTGCAGAGCTTTAGAAATTCCTGGATTTGTCAATAGGAATGGGATGTATTGAGGAAGGTGTCACATTTTGTATGATCTTGTACCTATTGTGTATTTCTTGGATGGGGGTTTTCTGTGCTATACCTCTTGGTAAAATTTTAAAATTTTTTAGAGGAAAAGAAGCACTGTTAGGCACTGAGAGGTCTTGTAATCATTCCTTGTCCTTCATCTTGATATAACTCTCAAGCATAACACCAGATGGATGATCCGTAAAAGGCAGTAGGTAAAAAAATTGCTCTATTACATGACAATTGATAACACTGTATTATAACTCCTTATTTAATAGTGTTTTTTTGCTTTACTGGAATAACTCTCTAGTTCAGGAAGAGCCAAAAAAGACCTTTCTCATTTATTTCACTTGGATGACCTTGAGGAAAGTCAAGTACTTTGGTAAGTGCATTTAAATATGTCTCTTCATTATTTCAGCTGTAATTATTGAACATGCAAACTGGAAGTATTGGTACTTTAATGTATAAGAAGCGCAAAGAAAAGAGACCACATTAGTACAGTGCATTGTTTTATTACTTGCACTGTACTGTACATCAAGTCACAGATGACTTCCTTCCCCCTTTAGAGGTATTTATGTTAATAGACACTGGATATTACATGCATCTTCCTGCACAAGCTCGTAAACATAACTGTCTGAAACATTCTTAACAGTTTATTTTTAAGATCTTTAATGTTTATTGGTATGACTTAAATCATGAAAAGGGACATAATGTATTTGGTAAAATTGCTTTATCATAGTAAGATAGTTATCATAGAGTTTACATCTAGTTTTCCTTCCCAGATTGAACATGTTGCCAATTAAATTGGTTTTCAGTGGTTTTGTAGGAGTAAAATTTGAAAACAGCTCTTTGGGGTTGGGGGTGCTGCCGTTTAACAGAGAAACAATGAGGAAGAACATTTTGTAAAATTCAACTAAATGTAACAAGTCTAGGCTCATCTTGTATCCAGTGGTGCAGTTGGCAAGATGGCCTGGAGGGTACTGTGTAACATTTCAAATGGGGGATCAGGTGAAGTGGAGTCTGTTATCTTACAATTCCTCTCAGATATATTCTTATTCATAATATTTCCTTTAGATAATAACAATACTATCAAAATGGAAAGTGTTCTCATCTCCCCAGAGAAGCCTCATTTTTATAATACATTGAATTAATTAACATTGTATCCTGTTTGAAAGGAAGGTGGCTTTATTTCAGCTGCAGATATTATGGTCCTCTTGGAACATAATTGTACAAAATGTTTTGCTGCAATAGTCTGTATGTCTGGCTTATGACTGTATGGCGTGAAAGGTACAGAGTTCAGGTCCCCAGTGAACAATCAAGAAGAGAAGAATGTCCTATTTGTTTTATTTTAATTAAAAATAATCACTCTGAATTGTTTTACAAAACAGCAATTTACTTAATGAAGAAAACTCTGCCACTAAAACAGACATATGTCCTGGGGGCTTAAGCTGTTTGGATTTTCAACGTAAGAATGGTCATACTAAGTCAAACCCAAAGTTCTTGTAATCAGTGCTCTGTGTCCAGCAGAGACATGTTTAGGGAGAAATATAGAAGGACAGGACAGGTCCCTTGTATTACTTTCTCAGAGTACTCCAGTACTTCTGCAAGCCTCCAGTCATCTGTGACTTCAGGACTTCTTTTCTGCTTCTCCCTTAGTGTCAACACAGTGTTGTACATTGGGGTCAGCTGAAAACATCCAACTGAATCACTGCAAGAAGTGCACTGTGCCGAGGGACGTGAACAGGTTCTTGATCAATAAACACTCAGTACTTTCCACCATTCACATTCAAAGGAGGTTTTAACTATAATGGTGCTATTCTAAATAAATTGTAAACTTAGTCAGTCAACATCTTTTGGGCTTTGTCTGTTTTGGCATGCTTACTGGGCTTCCATCCCTTTTGGTGAAGCTACTCTGTGGTGATGCAATGCAGTGGACAGTTAGGCCTGGTATCATCATTGACAATTCTTAGGTCATTTTGGGTTCTAGCCACATGTTGGATGATTGTTTGTGCCCAGAACTCATGACTGAGAACTGGAATTTATTAGTCAAAATAACTAATACTGGGAGATCATGTTTGTCTTCCTATTTTGTTTACTCTGCTGCATATAATTACATTGGAAATATGTTTTGAAGAGAGGAAAGATAGAGTTCTAGCCTAGCAGGGACCAAGTCTTCTCTTCGCGTTTGGGCAAGGAAACCATTTACTTATTTTGTTCTTGTCTATTTAGGAGTGTAAAACAGTCAAAGATTTTGTATGCTTTATCATTAGATTATGAAAGATAGTGAGAGCTTTCCCATTTTAAGGTTGGTTTTTTTAATCCATGCTGTTTACATGCTGTGGCAGAGAGCATGCCATCGTTTAACCAACTCCTTGGGCTTGCTGATCATTTCATTCCAGTGTTCTAGTTCTTTGCCGCGGGTGTACATGAAAGGCCCAACTACTACGCGTCCTAGCAGATGCGTTTCTGGGGAAAAAAGAAAGCAGTTAGTGATTAACACCTCTAAGTGTGTCCCTGAAATCCTTACAAAAATTAGAATATTAACTTGTATTTCTCTAAGTAATGCATGTTCTGAAAGTTATTTTTAAACAAAAATTTTCATCAAGGAATTCACTCTAGCTTTCAAGTTCCGTAGTTTCTATGTGCTAAGATTCAGCATTAAAAGCGGGCAGAAAGTGGGCGTTTAGTTCAGGCCTACCCTATTGCCTGCACTCTGAACTAGAATCAGTTTAAGGCACACAGAGCTGTATCTGCCCAGCCCCTCTACCTCCAGCGTACTGTGGAAGTGTGCCCTAGTTTTGGGCATCAGCAACCTTAGTAGGATTCATATGATGCTCCAGCTTGGGAAAGAATAGAGTTAGTTACTGAGAGAGCTGGGAGTCACAATATGTGTGTTGCCACTGACCACCCTCTCCCAATGAGCAAATTTTTCTTCATGCCTGAACTTTCCAGCTATGGATGGGGAAAATAATTTGAACCTGCCTTACATGAACTTCAGAATGCTTGTAAAGTGTTTGGCTGTCCACAGGTGAAAATGATGAAAGACTCCAGTACTGATCCTAGTTCTTGTCAATCCTCAAAGCCAAAGCACTTGCCCAAAATCTCACCTAAAGGAATTTTTTTAGGAGTGTATGAATCCAAATGAGGGTATTAATGTTTCATTACTGCGATCATATTTGCACTGTAGGGAAGATGTTTTTCTTGTGAGCAGTGAATTCTGACTTGCTTCTCTAAGCATAACTCCTGGATGGATTCTCTGACAATTAGTAAGAGGTTCAAGCATCAGGTTTTCTGCCAGGGAGCAGGGATGACTGTAATCTCTCTTTCTTCTTTCTCAGTGTTTGAACTGCTGTGATAATTAAAATTCCTATTCCTCTTTCAGATTTGGTTAGGAACAATGAATGGCTTCAAAATTTTGGGGGTTGGGGATTATACACACAAGTGTTCACAGAACATAATTGCATAAGCTTCTTTTCTTAGGATATCAGAATGAAACAAAAGTACAACACCCTGTACTGACAGTGACTAGCCTACAGTTATTTTATTCATGTCTTCCACTAAATGTATCTTTAGCCTCTGAAAGAGACATACACTTACTGCAAATAAGTTGTTCTGCTTTTTAAAGAAACAGCCTGTGAAATACCCCAAACCTTTTATATGTTTTATGATTATTGCTGAAAAGGAATTAGTTCCTCCCATGTTTAAATATCTCTGCAATATGGAAGAGATTTATGGCACCTTAACTGTAATAATTTAAATAGCTTACTTTCTCCCTTGATACTCTGTAGCACAGATAGACTCAGGCTCGCTGTATCCAGCTCTGTCTGATGTGCCTTGAAACTGAAGGTTTCATTGTACACTGGATTGGGAGATCCCAGAACAGCTGCTGTCTTTTTAGTTTTGATGAATTTATTATGGTTCATTAGTGAGACTTTGACATACACACCTTGGAGAAAAAGAAATTCAAGAAGAAAATACATCAGAGGCAGTTGGGAGAAGGCTTAAGGAATTTCTTGCCTTCAGGAGTCAATATTAAGTATAAAATTAGATCATGAATGATTCATGAAACATACATGGCAGAATGGCAATACATAACATTAAGCAGGGAGTACACAAAGTACTTGGGGTGCAGTTTTGCAGCGCGCTTTCCAATTTAAGAGCTGTTAAAAGGAGCAGTCATATTCTTACCCTGCATCCCTTGGTCTTATATTCCTGTGCCTTCCCTTCATCTGATGGAGACTTTTTTGAAGGCTTAGTTTGTTGGGTCAGTAGTTAATTTCGTATATTTGATCCCATGATTGATCCAACACAAGGGAGGCTGTGAGGGAGGAGCCACGCTGTGGAGCTGCAGCCTGCGCTTGGATTGGATATGCTTCAGGGGAACAGATTCTCCTAGTCAAAGAAGAATCCTTAAACAAAAGGTTTTACTAATGACTTTGAGCCCTGTGGTAAGGGATTCTGTAGAAAATTTGAGGAAGAGATCAATGATCTCTGCTTTCTTCCAGAAAATATTACAAAAATTGTGTGTGAGTGTGGGAACAGAACAATAAAAAAATTTTGCTTTGCTTCCTGAAGGGGACCTGTATTGCACTGTGGTCTTACTCAGTAGATTTTTGACAATGAGATCCAAAGCAGCCTGAAATTTTCCATTCCTCCCTACCCTTCTACAAAACTTAGTGACAAGCATGTAGAAATTGCATCTTAATTGATGGCTAAAGATTTGTTCTTTTCCAGTGAAGCCGTAATAGATTCCGTGCTGCTAATGTGTTTACTACTCCCTGCTATTCAGTTTAAGGTTCATCTGTATAGCAAAAATGATAAGTGTCAGGACTGAGACAGCATGGACAGACTCCTAATGTCTCCTCGTTATTTCCACAGTTCCCGTAGGCTCTCATTACTGTTTCAGAGGGTGCAGGATTAGCAGAACAGACTTTCTTGTGACAGAGCTGCTACCCGAGTGCTATATATGGAAAGAGTTACTATGTAAACTACTTGCACAAAGTCTGACTTTTCATTACTTTCTTATTACTTCTTAATACATTTAATTCAGTAATTTGAATCTAAAAATAAATTTCTTCTTGCTGTCCTATACTGCATATTTTCCATCAAAGATTAGTGTTGCACTAATCCATGTTAATATAGAAAACTTTTTATTCCAGTTTCTTCAGGATTTACCAGAGAATCTGTGGACCCTAAATCATACTTGAAGGGCATTCAAAGGAAAAAACACTGAGTTTATTTCATTTTCCCTTTTTTTTCTTAGTGATGTGTTCTGGAGAATCACCTTCTGGCAGCTCCTCCTTCCAGAGTGTGCTCATGACTCTTGCTTATTATGATAACCTGAAGTATATCAGCACTAAAATTACATGGCAGATTAATGTACTTCACAACAACCTGCAGGCAGAGACATGATGTATTAAGAAGTGTGTTCTCCTTCCCTTGTAAAGCTATTAGGATGATGCAAAATTAGAACATTTGCTCTTAGTTCATGATGCTGCTTTGTTCATCTGCCACAAACCGGTCATGTTCTTTCTGGGCATCCTTATCTTAGTTATTTGTTTTCTCAAACTAATACATTCTGTAATATCTTTCTCTTTCAACAAGTGCACAGGATTTGATTCTGCTTGTTGGAAACATCTATATTCTCATCATTTTACTGTGCATTTCTTCATTTATGGGTTTCACCCTGAACAGAGCAAATTTATCTCTAACATTATGAATGCAGATTTACTCATTTAGAGGGCATGATTTCTAAAGTTATACGTCCAGGTAACAGCCCACTCAAACCTCAAAAAAACGTTCACAGTTGATGTGTGTATATGGGGAACTAAATGTCTTTTCTTTTTAACTGCTGGGTGTATTTTGTCTTTATACTGTTTAGTTTCAAAGCCCTTCAAAAAAAAATGACTACAGATTCAAAGACAATTTGGTTCTTCCATCGATTTTTGCTTTGAGTGTTTAGATTTTAAACAGCATTTTGAGGTAATCTCTACATTCAACATCTCTGAGGCCAGGGACACATGAGCATGATGTACCAGGAAAACACCCACTGCAGTAAGGGAGAAAAATTATGACTCCATGCCATGGTCCTTTGAACAAGGGACAGGCTGTCCTAAAATGGGAACCTTTTCCCAGTCCAGTTCTCCCCAGGACAACTGTTCAGCGTAAGTGGTTTTCCTGCAGCCCTTAGCTCTGGGCTTTTGCCTTGAGGCAATTCTGTTAATGTCAATATCCCCTGAAATGCCGCTGCAATCACTAGAATTCTCTGCATTGGAGTGCAGCAAAGGGATGTTGCTCACTGTATTAAAGCAGGAGAAAAAAAATGCTACTGATAACACGAGACGAACCATTTATTTTGAAACAAAACCAAAACGCAGCAGAACTGAGCTATCAAAATCTAATTACCCCAGTAACAAAGTATGGCTTGTTTCCACTCAGATTAAATCACCCAGATGTATATTTGTTCTTTTCAGAGTCACTCAGTGCAAGCCTGGATGGACAGATGAGGAAGGAGCAAATTAAAACAGGAATTCTGGAGCTGATAGCAGAGAGGAAATCACAACTTACTGACAGCATGGCTCTCCTCCTGGAGCTTTAATCCCCTTGCCCTCAGAACCACTACAGTGAGACGGCCCAGGTAGTCATTGTAGCTGAGGGAGAACTGGATATCGCCAGAGTCTGAAGGAGGCTTTGGAAGCAGAAGAACACTTGTCAAATATATCTGAAAAACTCTCTCTTCACACAGACAAAGGGGGGGAGAAAAGCTTCTGCCACACGGAGGCATGTGAGTGAATTGCAATGGCTTTATTCACGCTGTTGTGACACTTGATAGAACCAATTAATCAGCCTTCTTGAACCTTTGAATTCCTATCTCTTCCAGGTGATGCCTATTTCCTTGCCCCTTCTGCTTTTTTCTGTTCTTACTAATCCAAAACAAAGGCAAACAACAAAAGGTGCTCTCTTATGTAGCTGTCCCCTAACTGATGACTGTTTCTGAGCAGCTGGATAATCCCCGTACAACAGCTATGGATCCACAGGTTGGCAAGATGGGAATTTTGATTCCAAATGTTTATCAAATACTTTTACATTTGATGTATTTGATACAGCGTACTTCTACTTCAGCTGTACCCCTCCAAAGCTTTTAAGATGACAGAAGTTCCACAATACCAAGCAGCCTGGTATCACATACCTCCAAGTTTTCTTTCTCCAGATCTCTCCATATGACTAGTTTGTTGTCATCAGTTAATGTTCCATTTTTCAGTGGGAACATAACTTGGCCTAGGAGATGATGCTTCTTCTGTTTATCGACATGATAAACCAAAAACTTCAGAGTCCTTTGGAGCAACATTTTACTGGAAACCTGTACAGGAAAAGGAAGAATATATTAATAATTATAGAACATGTGAGACTTTTCTACTCTAGCATGACTTCAAAGGAAGAATTTTTCAAAGTGTGTTAAAGGTAGGTGGAGATTTCCTTTAATTATTTGAAGTCCACTTTCTTAATTTGCCTAAAGTTTTAGCTATGTGGGAGTCTAAAGATCCAAGCTAAACCAGAGTGAGTTCACTTCAAAAATGTAAAGTTAGCTGGTGGTTTTCCAATGTATATAGATCTAGCGTTATATGATGCATTCACTTCTAGGCACAAGTGTTTAGAAACCTGTAAACATTCATTTTTCAGTTGTCTGAAACACAAATTTTTTTGGTTTTAAAGCTTTTGTCTTGTGATACCTGCTCAAAGCCTCTTGGCATAGGGAGCCAAGCTCGTAGCTTTACAGCACTATACAAATAGTATACCAGACACAGGTATACTAGCCCACTTCCACAGCAAAGAAACTAAAAGCTATGAAAGCATCAGTTCAGTACAGGTTGCTTCTGCACTTATAGAGCTGCTGGGCTGAACTGCTGAGCCACAGTTCAAACTGGAGTTTTCATCATTCCCAGGGCAAGTTCTGGAATCCTCAACTTTGGTGCAGACCACAAGTAAGGTCAGGTCTGGAGCCACAGACTTAAGTAGCCCAGGATCTCCAGAAGCCCCAGTAATAAATCCCATCTCCAGTGGAAATGACTTGTATCTTGGTAGAAGGTTGTAGGAAAATTACTTTTCACAAAACATGTACTGTAGTTTGACAAGTCAATATTTGCAAACAAAAATCTGCTTCATCAAATGGAAAAGTACCTGAAAAACAAAGTTTTCATCAAACTGAGGGTTAAGGGTTTTGCGTTTTGTTTTGGACTGCAAGTAGCTTCTTTCATCAGGCAGCAAGTAGATTTTCACAAATGGACTACAGGAATCGGCAGGAGGCTGCAGCTTTCTGACTTTAATCAAGGAGACGAGGAGCCTTTCTGACTCGTGCTCATATTCTATGGAGAACCAGAGGCGGCCAATGTTGCCTTCAGGAAAATCCGTCTCGCTTTTGTCTTCAGGAAACTTGTACAGCTCTGGGTTAATGGTTCCTACAACATAAGCTCCAGCTTCACAAAATAAAAAACAAGCACCCTCAGGTTAGTCTCAAGACTTTAGCAGGCGCTTTTATAACCACTGCTGTATTAGGGAAATCACACTAATCTCTTTATTAACAATCTGGTTTGCATAAACTTGGTATTTTAATTCCTTTTCCCTCAAATTTGGGGGAGTAGTTGTAGGCTGCACTGCTCTGCTTTTCTTTCTCTTATTCCTATGACTGTACCTTGATAGTTTTGGGTATTTGTTGTTGCAGTCTGCAACTGGTCACTCTGCTCTTTCTGGGGACAGCAATCAGATACTTCCTGAGTTACACTTACACTGCTGTTGTGCCTTTACCAAACACAGAAGGAGAGAGTGCTTTGTCTGCCGTACGTGCAAGGTCCCACAGCAGTGGGACCAGAATGGCTACATTCTGGCCCAATTCCTATATATATAAAGCACATATATAGATACAGTGTTTAGGGCTTGCACTGTCTAACACTGTCTGGTATGCCCCCAATAAATGTGCTTCATAATAAAGTTACCCTTTAAAAGAGTACCCTCAAAGAGTCCCATTTTTGCAATTCCATACCCAAAGAATGAAACGATGAGCGTGGCCCAGGCTGAGGAATCATGTAGGGGTCACTGTCCTCCTGAACCTGTTCTTCGCTCGTCAGGTTAATCCAGTCTCGCCCGTGCAGTGTTGGTGGAACGATGAATGGAACGCTTCGGGATCTGCGCAAGACAACAACAGCTACTGACTCTTCTCGTTTAAATATGGAAACCAAACTTGGTAACAGCAAGTTTACTGTTCTTCTCTTACAATTTTGTAAAAATTCTATGAGATGCATAGGTAGAAAAGATAAATACCCATTTTTTTGCAATTGATTTTATTTGTATAATGCCTAGAGGTCCAGCGAGGGACATCAGATCTTAATTCTTCAGACAGATCCCTCACTTTTTTTCCCTTTCTTCTCCTTTAGAATTGATCTTGGAAAGGAAAGAAAGAATTAACTGCAGCTGCTTGTTTTAGAGCCCCAAAGCCCTGCAGTAATGAACTTTCTAAGAGAGTCTCCTTTCTGAACTGAAGTCCTGTTGGTTGGTTCTCAGATGCTTCATTATGAGATCACCAAGAATGACTCTGGAACATTGGTCGAATTTGTCTAGGTAACAGATAAAGCTATCCATGCATCAGTTATACTTGAATGTATTATCTCTTTTACATAAATCAGAAATAATCATTGCATTCATAGTTACAGAAAGTATTATTTTCCTAAAGGAACAAAACAGAACATGACTAATGTTTTCATATAATTTAGGGGTCTTGTTTATTTCTGTATGTGCATATATTTAGATCACCCCCTCATTTGAGATTTCATGAGTTGAAATAAATTACCAATAGTGTATGCTTTACAAACAAAACAAAAATATGTACCTTGTGCTTTGTGGTTGAATTTCAGAAGTTGACTGGTCCTGAAAAAAGGCTTTTGCATTTGTTGTTTTGACAGGACTGGTGAGCTTTTCATAAGAAAAGAGGCAGCAAAATTTCTTCCAGAGCAGGTATGCAGTTATTCCAATGAGAACAAATAAAAGGATCCCTCCTATTACTCCCCCAGCAATAGCAACTGCTTGTTCTGTTCAAACATAGAAGCACATAAAGCATCATAGGAGGATCAAAGTTATGTACGTTTTGGGGGTAGACAGGAGTATTAAAGCTGACAAATTGATCTACATTCCAAAATGATTTTTAAATCAAACATTCTGCTCATGTGCACCTTTTTGTGTTTGGTTACAGCATGATGCAAAACCTGAAGATGTTTGACATCAGCAGTGAGAGATTAGAAAGCGTTCAGATATGCTGGCAATGACTGCAATGTAAGAGACTATAGACAAGAAAAAAATCCCAAACCCTAAGAGTTGTTTGGGCTTTTATTTTACATTAGCATAAGCATTTACCTTAGCATGGCAGAAGTGCTAGAGCTTTCATAACAGAAGAAGAAAACCCAGGAGCACCTAATACAAAAGGTACCATTATTTTGGTTTGGTTTGTTCTTCCAACTATTCATCTATGTTGAACTGAGACTAGATGCTGGCACAAGGAACAAAGCGAAGCTCTGGGTTGTTTTCTTTCTAAGGATGCATGTGTTTCCTGATCTTAAGTCAAACTTAAGTATCCGTTAAGCACTGTTTCCTGAATCTTGATTACTTCAGATAAAACCAAATCTTGTGTAATTTGGGGTTTGTTTTTTTTTTCACACTAATAAAATTGAAAACTTAATAAATGTCTTTAATACAAATACGAGGAATTCTGTTGTGAGAATTTCTCACTAGACCAAGGGTAGACAATTGCTAATGGGCTCAGTTCACGTTGTCTCATGTTTGCTGACTATGCTAGAGTGAAAGGCTGGAAAGACCACGTCTGCACTGTACCTTATACCCAGCCTGTCTTGGCCTGCCACTGACTAGTACTGGTGCATTGAGATGTGACTAGGTCTCAGCTGAGAATTGATCCTACCAGAATATCCTCTGTTTGCAAACGAGCCCAAATGGCAGAATTATCTTCCACCCTGCAGCCATGGGAGGCAGCTCAGGATCAGGTGGGTACCGTGTACTGCCAGTTCGTAGCGTCTCCCCTGAAACTGAAGCAACAAAGCGACCGGGCCTTCTCTCAGCTGGTACTGACTTTTTTCCCCTCTTCTCTGCTTTTAGGTAGAGATAACTGTGGTTATGCTTTATTCCTTTCTCCTTTTTATCTGTCTGTGCTTGGTAGATACCTTGCAGTTAGCTACCTCTGTACACTGGTACAAGTAAATAAAGACAATACAAGCACAAAATAATCAGTCAACACTACTAGTAGTTTTGAATAAGAATTCAGAACTAATTTGACACAGTTCATTGATTAGAGCTATAAAGAGTATAGGAAGTGAGTTGCAAATACATGTATTACTGATCTTTTTTGCTGTTGCCATGTTGCAATGAGTGATATGAAATGTCCTTCAGCCACAGAACACTTATGTAAATACCTTGTGCTATAAAATTAGCCTGGCCATAGTGCCTCAAAGGCCTTTATCTGATCCTATCGCATTTTTCTGCCTTTGGTACAGGCATAGGAGCCAACTTATTTTTGCAGCTCCCCTCCAGGTGTGCTCCCTGCAGGAATTGGCTGGCTGCTTCCCCATGAGTCATATAACCACTCATGGCTCCCAGCACCATGGAGCAGCCACCCTGCTCACAGCTGTACCGCACAACAGGCATTTTCCTGTCCTTGCAACTGGTAGGTGGGCTGAATAGGCTTCAGCACTTAGCCAGGCTATTAGTACAATAGTATTAGTACAAGACTCATTCTGAGGAACCGGGAGACAAGTACCTATTTGGTATGTGTTAATAGTCATACAGAGACAAGTCTGGTTGTGCTACACTGGTAACTGAGTTTTCTTTCATAAGAATGCACAGTATGAGGAAATGTGTAACAAATGCAGTCCTGAGCATGGAAATTCTGTGTGTGTGTTCCCCTTAGTTTTGTAGGGCGTGCTCAAGTAATGTCTTCAGTCAGCTTGCCATTTTATTACAGCTTAGAAGGCCAGATGCAGAAAAAATGCTTTAGTTTAATGCCCATGAACATAATAGAAACTAATGGTTCACTTCATACAGGTGTACTATCAACAATAAAAATGTTTATATGGCTGGTGGTTTTACTGTCTGACAGAGGTATCTTAAAGGTTAACATTTCAAGCAGCTCAACAGGACTCTGTTTAACTTGTCCCCTCCATTCCCAAGCCTTTAACGCTCTCGGCAGCAGTCCCGCATTCCCCCATACCCAGTTTGTCACCATTTACCATTCGGGACAGTAAGCTCAGGTGCACTGTAATGCAACATACAGTACAGTACAGCAGCTGTGCACCGATTTTGGAGTAAGAGAATGAGTTTCCAATCTCTCCACTAATAAGTTTAACGAACTGAATTTGTTCACTGCAGAGTGATGTTAAATATTTATGACCCACCCACTGCCATTGGCTCAAGTTCTGCTGTTTTATTTTTACACAGTGGTAGGCGTAAAGAAAAGTTTTACCTACTTCAGCAAAGCTACCTCTGATTTACTGAGGGTAAGGAGAATTTGGCTCGCTTTTAGTCCATCTTATCTGATTAGATCAGCAACAGAACCAGCAGCTTAGGGCACAATGTAGCACTAGTCACAAAATTGACCATTGAGATAAGTTAAATCCATTGTGTGTTAAATCCAGGGGGGAAATATGTATCTTTTTAAATAACTACCTGCCATGATGAGAAACTGATGTATTGTATTCTGCTGTGGTACAGGATCATGGCAGCTGGAGATGGAAGAGACCTGTTGGACCGCTTGGTCTCCAAGGGGCCTGTGCTGGGGGACTGTCCACCGTTAGAAGGTACCAGGTTTATCCTAGCGCAGGGCAATGTTGGTGGTCGTCATCTGTCTCCTTCGGGACCCGATCCCCTTTTTGCTTAGTGTCTGACGATACGCTTTTAACTGGCTTTGCTTAAACTCGGCAGTAAGCCTTTCGGAGTTACGACCAGGCAGTTCTCCATCACAAGCTTTAACCCCGGTATAAGTTCTCAGCTTTATCAACATTATCAGTACAGGCATACGCAGAGCATAAACCAAATTGTTTGGGGTGGGGGGTAAAGCCTTTGCCCTGCGGTGCCCGCCTGACAGAGCCGAGCGAAGGGCGGGGGGCCCGGCGGGCTGCAGGCTTTTCCTCAGCGGCTCCAGGAGGGGGTCGGCTGGCTTTACGGCCCCGGACTTCGGGGGCAGCTTTGACTTCATTTCTCACCCCACAACTTTGGGGAAGCAATAGCGGGG